TAATTTTTCTAAAAATCAACCTTTATTTGTATGTATATTTTTCTAAATAAAGGTAAATAATTTATTAACCTTTGTTGTTCTTCATGCTCTAAGATATGTATCACTAGCATATCTTCCAATAACAAACTGCAATGTGTATCTTTAAAACATATTTTTTGTGTGGGAAAACATCTGCCTGATGGTTCTCTAGAGTAAAGGATTACTTAAAGCAACCCATCCTTGTTTGGAATAAAGTCCCACGCTTTGGTGGACACTCCTGTTTGACTCAGACCTGACGCGTTTATGCGTAATCACTGCGTCGGTGAGTATTTATGGTAATGAATTAAGTATAAGCTTTCATTTTTGAGCTGCTCTGCCATCTTCCGGCTGAATATTGCACTGCTGCTTCATTCTGTTTAATTAATTCTCTTGTCTCTGTTGTATCCAAACACTCACCAAGTAAAACCTTTGAAATATCTCAGACTTATAGTTAGACTTATCTTTAATAAGCTTTAGTTTAGAGTTATTATTTTGTTTAGGGCCCCCGGTAGTTGTGTAATCTGACACTAAGTGGGGGCAGGGCTATTTTTCCTGGGACAACACTGTCCCGGCTGCATTTCTCTCTCGGGTGTGGCAGACATTCTTAGCTCTCTCCAGCACCCTCTCCGTCCACTTACCTTTCTCGCTCTGCGTAAAGACGCACGCATCCAACCAGAACTCTCCCTGTTAGACAGATTCCTGCTTTGTTTTTTGTTCCTACGTTTCCTCTTCAGACATGTTTCGCTGTGGGGTCGACTACAAACGATGCAGGTGGATCATGCCCCTGCTGCTGTTGTTCGCCGTCATTTTTGACATCATCGCCGTCGCGGCCAAGTCCGGATGGGTCGAGAACGATGACGGACCTTCTCACTACGCCAGCATGTGGGATGAGTGCCGAGGAATTGACGAAAACGTGAACTGCAGGACCCTCATGGATGAAAGTAGGTGTTCTTATTGTTTGTTTGTTTGACAGATCAGGTCTTTGAGTTGCGTTAAACTGTAACCAGAGATAACTGGTGGGAGGAGGGAAGACTGCAGTCAGGTAGGCTGAACTTTGGTCTCTCCTCTTATTTTATTCTCTTCATTTTCAACCAGGATATATTTTTTGTAGAAAACAATTTGACCTTTAGAAGACTTGATCAAAGACTTTCACAGTACATTCAGTCAATGGCAAGCTAATTGTAGCCACAGCTGGCCTGGGGCTCACTGACACAAGCACAGGCGCCAACAGGCCCAATGATCACCATCAAAAGGCAATGCAGGTGAAGTGTCTTGAGTTGGGATATGAACCGACGACCCATTCAATTCAATTACGTTTATTTATATGGTGCCAATTCACTACACATAGCATCTTAAGGACTTTACAGAGACAATGCAACCAGATCATAGAGACAGGTTGCTTAAAAGCTTTCTATTTAAGGAAAACAAGCTGATTGCATCCTCATTGACTCAAAGGCAATCCCTCACACCAAGCATGCTTGTAGCGACAGTGGAGAGGAAAAAACTTCCTTTTAACAGGAAGAAACCTCCAGCAGAACCAGCCTCAGTGTGAGCGGCCATCTGCCGAGGACGACTGAGGTTCAAGGAGACAGAAGCAGACATAGAAAAAGAAGCAGAGATATAAAAAGCAGCTGTCAACCAGCTCCACAGGTGGCCCCATCCAGAAAACATACAGCCAGGCAGACGAGCCCTGAGCCAGCTTCCATGTCAGAGGATGAAGAGAGCACATCTAGTTAGTCGCAGTCAGAGAAACAGGACTACACTGAAAAACAGGCCAAGCTCCAACATGTATACCGGTAAACAAAGGCGTTGTTGGCAGCAGCACAGCTGATATTTCTCTCTAGGATGGCGTCACAGCTAAACAGAGACACACCAGACAAAGCCACTATGATGAGAAAAAGCAGAGAGAGCATTACGTTAAAGGCTGAACTAACAAATACTGCAGAATGGTTGAATAGAGATTGAATTACGGGGGGAAAAAATCATCTAGCAATCTAAGTCTATAGCAGCACAAGTGTAGAAAATAACTCAGGGTAACCTAAATATTTTGGATGAGGTATAAGAAAGGTAGAGCCACAATGTGGCCAAGGTAGAGCCAAGGAAAAAGATCTATCCGGACTCAAATTCTCACCCAGCACAACAGACTCACCCCTCTGTTGGAGGGCAACGTCCTGCATCTAAACTTTCACTTACAAAAAAAATGAAGTAGAAAAAAGAAACCTCCCATCACTTTTATCGATCTATTTACTTGAACTTGAGCTGATTTTTAAAGATTAAACTCAAATCAAAAGACATGAATAAGCATAAAAATCTTCTGAAGATATTTATAGTTTTGAACTTAAGTTACTCAACAAGAGATCATTATGGTAAAGTTGTCTCATCTCTAGTTTTATTTTACTTTATAGTTTTGCTTTTAAAAAGATCTACAGACCAAAATGGCAGGGTTTAACTTGCAGATTCTTGACTGATTGTTCAGTTTATTTTTTTAGTTTTTAGCACAATAGAAAATCAGGGACTACATGTTTATTTTGATCAAGATTAAAGAGATGTTATATAGACAACAGAAAGGTAAAGTCATCTTTAATCAGTTTGTAGTGTGACTTAATATGTTTTTGGGCGTTAATCGACCTTTTGAAATAAAACTTCAAAGGATTCATTGTCTCTTTGATTTTTTTATTTTTTTAAATAAAAAAATCGCTGCTGTTGGCAGCGCTGATTGTATGGCAGCCTCGTTTAGGTCATTCTGCCCCAGGACAGCTGTGGCTACGATGTAGCTACGCTGAATGGTTGAACATAATGCAAAGCTCTTTTGGGTCCTTGAACTCGATAAAGCAACATATACCGTCTAATGAAAAACATTTCAACCCTAAAATATACTTCAAATAATTTTTTTTTTTTATGATGGACAAAAAAAACAAAACAACAACAGCTAATTGTATAAAGGCTCCGAAACGTATAATAACATTTTTCATCATACCATGTATATTCAGAGAAAGTGATGGAGCTTCTCTGGCTATCTGTGGCTCATAGTGACATCCCTCCCCTGCCCGTTGCTGCGCACTGCCAGTCAGCTGGCTACAAAAGAATGAACAGTTTTAGTTTTAGAAAATATAGTAATATCATTGTACTTTCATTCCTTACTGTGAGCCTCATAGCAACTTATGATTCATGAGCAGGAATAAATCACAAGCTTTTCTGAGATTTACTGTAAAGCTTTAGTTATGGCTTGTTCTTTTGAGAAAAAAAAAAAGAAAAACCAATAATAAAAAAACAAAAAAACATTTGTGTATCAAGTCGTGCTTCTGTTTCAAGATTTTTATCTGCAAATCACTTATTTCAGTTTTGTGGAGGAAGCCAAAAATGTTATTTCAGAACTGGCTCCAAGCCGCAGAACAAACCTGTTTTTGTCAAACTGACAGCGAGAGGACATGTTTTTACTGGCATGATCAAAATGCAAATGAGGAGCAGTTGAAAGAGGCTGACTTGTTATATGCAGATACGATCATATTTATAGAGAAACTGCTTCTCCTTCAGTCAAGTGGTTCAGTCAGGGACACATACCCCAGTGTCACACACTCAGGGCTTCGACCATTAACAGAACAGACACCTGTCTGCTCCTGCCCAGGTTCTTCATGTGTCATTCACACTCTTTACTCACCAACAAAGGCAGCATTGTTGCTCATCCATAGCTACTCTGCTTATGTCACAGTCAGCCACAGCCGACTGCTCCCTGGGCGCCACACGATGGCAGCCCACTGCTCCCCAAGGGGATCGGTTGAATGCAGAGCCAAATTTCTCCAATGTGTGATCTGAGGGAGGTGGTGGCCAAGTGATTAGTGCATAGAGCTTTGAATCCTGAGGTTCTGAGTTCTGAGTTGCCACAGAGGGTCATTTAGCCAAACCCTTCATCTCAGACTGCAGCCTTAAAAAAAAAAAAAAAAACTATAAAAAAAATACTTTATAGTTATAATTGTGTTATAAAGAAATGCTTAAATATACATACGATAATAAGTGACACAAAATGGTTGGCTTAACTGTTTTATAAGTTTCTTTATCGTCAAGGTTACAGCCACAAACTTTATGTGATAAACCATCTCATGGTAGATGACTCAGAAGACACTGAGTGAACAGAGTCTCTATCTCTATCTATTTGATTTTCAATATGTCACAGGATTGGAAGGAACATATAACCTGTCTTTATTTGGGTAAATCAAAATCATAGAAGGCCTCAGAGTTTTTTTTAGAGAAAATGAATCAGTGAACAGCGTCATAAAGATTAAGAAACCAGCAGATGGGTCAGAGCTGCCGCTTAAAGCAGGGTTACCTTATAAAACAATAGCCAAAGCTTTGTCAGAGGAGTGTTCATTTCATCATATTATCTTATTGCATCTTATCTTATTAACAAATCTGTCCTTTATTAAAGAGTGGAAATTAGAAATGGGCTGTTTGAAGAAAGTCAATAGAATAGCTGTTTGTATGAGTCAGGAATGGGGGGAAAATGGAGGAAGCGAGAGGTACCCAGAGATCATGCAAACACAATTCAGATTTGGATTTAAACCTAGACCTTTTTGCTGTAAGGCATCGGTACCACAAATGCAGAACCATAGAGCCGCTCTCTTTGGACATGTTGTGTTAAACTAACACCGCGCCTCACCCTGAAAATAACAGGGAAATATGGTGGTGGCAGCATGATGCTGTGGGGTCTTTTTTCTTCCACAAAGATACCGAAATAGGTTAGTGTGGATTTTTAAAAAACAAAAAAAGCAAACCACATGGTAATCCTGGAGAAGATCTGAAACTGGGGCAGAGGTTTTGAGCATACATCCAGAGCTCTAATATATCGCTCTGTTCTAATTGATCTAGATCTATTTTACCCATAAAACCAGTTGAACATTTGTCGAAAGGCTTTTTCTAAAATCTCAACAACCAACTTACAGACAACCTTATGATTTTCTTACTGTTGAAAACCTTTTATACTGTTTTAGACATATATGAAAGCCAAGAGAGCTCAAATGTGACTTACTTAATAAGCAGAAATAAGCAGAATATATCATTTCAAGGCAATCACTCTTTAGCTGTAGTTCAAGTTACTGTTTGGCAGCAGCAGCAGCAGAGCTATCATTGTTATGAGTTTGCAGTAAACACTGATAAAAAAAAATTTAATTAGTTCCCATTTCTATCTGTGGGTCAGTTTCCCAGAGCTAACATCAGGCGTTCTAGCCTCTGTATTTTTATAATAAATCATGAAGTTCCGGTTTTGTTTCAGCTGCCCTCTGCTACTGTTTTGGCCTCTCCACTCTCAGCATGCTTTGGAGCAATAGAACAAAAGATGAATTCAGCTCTCAGCAGAAAAACACTTGCTGGATAAAAAATTGGCTTATTTTCTCCTGGAGGTTCTGCTGGTTGAAATACTTGTGAGAAGGATCAGAAAAACCAAGGAAACAAACCCAGCTGCTGGGTGTAAATAAGATTGTTGGAGCAGGTTCAAAGAATCCTGGAGGTTGAATAGAAGGAGGAGCTGCCTCAGAAAGGAACTGTAGCTTTCCTGAGAAATGCAAGAACAAACATGTTGGGTTTTTAATGGAAAAATAAATTATACAGGATAATTGGAGCTTTATTATGATTAATTACAAGCTGTGAAGTGTTGCATAATATATCAGTTTTATCTTGAGAGGAAATCTCTGGATGTTTGTGTTCCTTTTACTTAAATTCAAATAAATTTAGATAAAAAACACACAAACATTGCTACTTTGGGTTAAAATTTCCCACTCTCGCTAGATTTGAACCCACTTTTAAAAACCCACTGTCCAAAGTAAAGGATGTGCAATTAGGCCCTTATTAGAAATTTCCAAAAGAAGTGTTTATTAGCAGAAAAACTACTGAAAAGAAACTGAGAGCAATGTATTCATGTTTGAGTCTTACCAAAATAAACTAACACAAAAGATCTGATTGGTCAGATCATTAGGAATACCAAACCCACTAAAGAACTGTTTTATATTGTCTGAAAATTAAAATTGCAAAAATAAATGATTTAACTTTTTTTTTTACCTTGTTTTTGCATCATAACAGATTTATTGGTAAGTAATTAGTACTTAGTGCACAAAAGTGCAAGATTACACCATCAGTCTTAGTGTTTTTTATTGGAAGGAGAAAACAGATGTCAAATGGCTGGAAGACATAAAATGGTAATTAAAACAGGAACAGGGTGTTCTTTCCCTAAACGAAGCAAACAAATAAATATATTCACAAATAATCTGAATTTTCTTTTATTTCATTTCTGATAATGTGACTTTTAAGGTATATAAAATTAAATCAGACTCTACCTAATCAACAAACAAACTGGGACACGGTTTTACACCAAATGTTTGCTCAAATGAATTCTTCATGGTGTGATGAAAATATTAGACTATGCTACTATTACTGAAAACTGAAGGTTACGACCGACCTTCCTTTTTCTGATGATTGTCTTTCTTTACCATCACATAATCTCATTGTGTGCTTTTATATTTCAGCCATTAGAGATGTACATCTAAAATAGGAGACAGAGATATGCTGAGTGTAATAAACTGCCTGTAGAAACATCATATCCCACCTAATGTTTAATCTTCCCCTCTGCATTTGCACACACAAGTATTCCTATAATGATTACTATTAGGGATGAATGATTTTTTTCCAAAAATAATATTTTAAACCAATATAACAATTTCTATTTTATTTCGATTTTTCTTTGCTTTAACCAAAATGATTTAAATGTTTCACTACATGATGTCAGTTTTTTCATGACCTGAAAAGTTTGCTTGTCCAGACTTTTGTTGCTGGATTTTACTGTAAACTGTCTCCCATCTCTGTGGTTGCAAACCCACTTTAAGCATATTGTCCCCAGCCAAAGGGCTGGAGGGATACATTTAGCTACTTACTCTTTTTAAATGTAATATTATCAAAATTGATTGCCTCTGTGATTTGAAAATTGTGTTTTTGTTCAATTTCGATAATATTGCTAATGCAATTAATTGTCCAGCCCTAACTGCTATTCTATAGAAAGTTAGGCTCAAGTTTAAAACCAGCTAAAAGAAAAAAAGAAAAGTCAAACTTCCATAAAAGTTTGATTATATGACTTAACTTAACCATTCAAGTTTCAAATTCAAATTTCAATTCTGTTAATGTACTTGGAATCCATTTCCCACCCAATTTGTTTGAAAGTAGCAGTGACTTAGAAAATATGGTGACCAAAATATGACTTTAAAAAAGCACTTTTTCCAACCCTATACCACAAAATAAATAAATAAGAAGCTTTTATTGTCATTGTACAGAAAAAAACAATGTTATTTCATTTGACAGCTTCTCTTTAGCCGTAACATTTACATTTAAAATTGTGCATTAAGAGAACACTGAGCCTCTAACTCAAAGGCCAACTCTTAAAATATCGCAGTACTTTACAGTTTTCTGGTTTTCACAACTGAAATTACTTTTTAGCCCAAAAGAAGGGAAGTTGTTTTTTTTTCTGTTTTTTTTTTTTTATAATGTATCATTTTATTCTGATAGGCATCAATCCAGCATCTGGAAGACAAAATAAGTTATCAGCACCACCTGAAGCATATCACCACCTGATTTATTTTACATTCCAAACTTGCAAAGTTGTTGAAGCTAAAACCAGTATCATCAGTAATGTGTTTCAGTATCGCTGATAGATGTCTGGAAATCATTATAAGTTACTGGAATTTCAACCTCACATTGGCTTATATTAAAATTATGAAAGGGAAATAGAGATTAAAATTATTTGTTATCCTTAAAAACTTTACGTGATATCCTGCCTTTGTTTAAGTTATGTAAGATTTTCCTCCTAACTTAATCATAAGAGGTGTGGAAAATGAGTTCAGTTGAATTTAACCAGACAGCACCCAACCGTTTTATATGAAGAAAAGAGAAACCGTTTGTCATGGAGGAACTTGTGTGTAACTTAACAACATCATCATTAGGTAGAGCAGTAAACCAGTGAAACCAGCTTTGTGTGTACATTTATTGAGCAGGAATGCCTCTGGCTAAGACAAGTCCGACATTACATGAACCCACAGTCAACAACATGGCTGTGAATAATTCAAGGGCGTAGGCTGATCCGGTAACTGGAAAACAGCTTTGGAAAATTCACACTGTGAGTTTGTTTGAAATACAGAACAACTGGATTATTAAGACATGAAATGTAGATTCAACATTAAGGCTTTGGATGTTTTTCTTTTTATCACCTCCTGCAGGAAAAAAAAATCTGTTTGGAGCAAAACATAATAAGAGTATGTCATAATATAATAAATGTCATAATACAAGGTTTCTGCACAAGCAACAGAGGTTTTTGCACATATTGGATTTAAGGGAGTCCATCTTGGTTTTCATTGAAAGAAATGAAATCTTGCACCCAGATACTGTAGAGCTGCAGTTTTAAGCAAAGTGCGGTTGTTAAGGTAACAACGTGGTGAGCTGTTCCTTTAGGTGCGGAGTTAACGTGTTGAAAGCACACAAACTGTCTCTGTCAGTCAAAGCAAGTTCTGGCTGCTTGTTTACAGAAAGAAAAAAAACAAAACATCAAACTGACATTTTTTACAGAAAAGTCATCATGCTTTGCTGATAGATACTTTGACAAGTTGTTTCAGAAGACTCAATTGGGCTTTATTTATGTGCAAGGTCTTTTAATGATATTGAATTGAATGTAGCCTTACAGGTAGAATGAAGGGCAAAGGGACAACAATGTTTCTTTCTGGAATCGAAACATTTTATAAATATATAGTTTATTTAATAAATGTAAGGGTGAAATTATGTCTTCTTGAGAAAATGACCCCTTTTTTGTTTCCCTTTTGATTCCAGGTTGGGCAAAGGCTGTAGCAGCTCTGATGATTATTGGCCTCATCATCCTCATCATTGCCTTCATCCTTTCCATCGTTGCCATGTGTGGTACCCCCAGCAGCGGCTTTTTTATCGGGATTGGAGTTCTGCTATTTATCATTGGTAAGCTTTGCTCCCAAACATATACAGAGAGACATATTTGATCTGTCAATAAATAACTGTAATTCAACTAGTCGATTGTTATAAATCATAGGCTACCTTTGAATGAGATACACTCAATAACTACCATGTGATTTCATTAAAAAGGAAATAAATTCACTTGCCTTAAATCCCATTTATTCACTTAAAGTACAAGACAGACTGCACAGTTAGGTTTGAACTAAGCTGTTAGAAAAATAAAACATAGTTTTGGTTAATTCACTGTGTGAAGATGCTACATTTTTTGGCTTATTTTGCTGCTTTTAAACAGCTTGGACCAAGTTTAACCAGCTTTGTTTCTCAGTATTATTGTAGATTGTAAACTAGAGCTACAAAAGCTAGGCTAACACTTACACTAACACAACAGCATGATTTACCCGGAGCAGCATTTTTAAAGAACGGATTTTAGAGAAAAAGATAAACAATTAATGATAGGGAGCAACATTCAGAACTATCAGTATAGAGTGTGGATTCTTGAGTAAAAGTTAAGCACCATTTTTCTAAGCCATGTTGTATCTGACCTTTCTTGTCATCTTTGTTGTCCTGATGAGGTTCCATGTATGGAGGCCTTACCTCTTCAAAGTGGCTCGCAGGTTAGAGTCCCAGCCTGTTGACCACTGTTGCTACCAACCCCATTGGCTCTTAGCCTGTTTTGAAATAAAGCAACCATTGCCAAAATAATCTTTTAAAAGAGCCAATCAAGCAGCACTTGTAGTCAAGTCAGTGATCGGTACATTTTGGCTCCAGGGTAACTAACCGTTCGCATTCCACCGACTAATAATTGCTTTTAATTTGTTTTTATTGTATTTAGTTTAACCTTCTCCTGATCCAACTAACCTGACCACCTAAGTCAGAGATTTTTTTTTTTTACCCATTCTGGAGAAGACCTGAGTGGCTGTTCAGTCCAAAACTATTGAAAAATAAACTTACAAAAAAAGAAATTAAAGAATTAATAAAGGTTAAACCCAAAGTTACGGCCTCAACACCTTGTGTGCTTGTCTGCAAAGCTGGATTCATATGTCGAAGTCAGTCAAACACATTAGGTTGAAACAATTATTGGATTGAATTATTTTTTTATTTAAAAAAAAGCCCCAAGTATAGTTACAAAATCTTTTCTCGTTGTTATTTTTAGCACAGAAACAAGCCGGTTACCAAAGCACGGTATGTTCCGTTGTTAAGACATACCTGTTTTAATAGTACTTGTTGATCTTCTGTTTGTCGTTGTGTGAGATCAGATTATAAAACACATTCCCTGGCTGGGCTTTTTAAATGTTTTCAAAAGTTTGCCACTTTAAGTATGTTTGAGGGAAAAGATTTAAACTTGCAAGTGAAAGCAACTTAACTGAGTGGTTGTTTGAGATGAGATAAGAAAATGTCTCTTATATTTTCAATCAGCCAAACGATCAGTTAAATTTAATAGTTTCTAAGGAAATGTTGTGTGGTGATAAGTGAAAACCTTTAGTATCAACAAACTCAACTCACTTATTTTAGTTTGTTGAAGCAACTCTTACACATTCGTGCGAAGGCATTTTCCACACCCTGCTGCTACAGTCACCATCAGGGCTGCCTGCCAGGATTTTTTTTAAGGTTTCTGGATCATAAAGTAAAAATCTTTATCGAGTAAACCCTCAAAGTTTTATTCTTTTCTCCTAATTTATATACAATGTATATTTTTTTTTATGTGAGCATTGTTTAAGGTTTATGGATCTTTAGTAAAGCTTGTCCATCTGTCCCTACAGCGATCCTCCAGATCATCGCTCTGATCATCTACCCCGTCAATTTCAACGACAAGATCTTCGAGGGCCAGTATTTTTACACCTGGGCCTACGGGTTTGGGTGGGGCGCCACCATCATCTGCTTGGGCTGCAGCTTCATCTTCTGCTTTCTGACAAAATACATAGAGGACATAACCGGAAATGAGAAGGTCAAATACTTTTACGAATCCAATTAAAAACAAAATTTTGTCAACCTGCCTAGTTACGGTATTTCCCATCCCTCCCACTGTCTTCCCCGTCAGTTGAACATCAACACTGAGAAAGCATAGTGGACCGTGACTGGGTGCTGCTCCAGCTTTAGTGCCTACATCATGGTTTTAGATTTTGCCTTTATGTCCAGACCCATTTTTTTTCCCAAAAACATAAAGATTTTCCATGTTTCTTCAGCGTTGCGTAAACTATAGGTTTTAAAGCAGTAATGCCAAAGTGCACTTACCTTGCTGACAAGCAATCAAGATTCAGGTGTGCCTTTTTTGCACAGGATGAATGAATGTTTATCATCCTGTGTGATACTTTTGGTACCTATAGCGTCTCCAAAGCTTCATTAACTCTACATGTCAGAAGAAGGATGGAAAGGCTCATACAAGCAAAAATCTACATGTTTGGTTTAAAAAAAACAAGTTTTTGCACCTTTTTTGCTTTTATATATACAATTCACATCTACTGATTGTCTTATTGTTTGTTTTTATGTGGTAATGTAGTCAAGAAGGGAGATGCTGGGCTGATTTTGAATGTTATTGATAGCTGGATACTGGGGCTAATGTTGGATCCACATCAGCTGCGTTTCCATTGACCATCAATTTCTGCTGTTCAATAAAAAAAAAAAGAAAGAATTGTGTTTTTCAATGATGACATTTTTTAGCTAGGAAGATATTATTTCTTTGGCCATATAAAATTTTAATATATTTCACAAAACCTGCAATGAAAACACTTTTTTTGCATCTCATGAGTCACAACCAGACGTCACAGCTGGCAAAAGGAAGAAATATAAAAGTTATCGTTTGAGCAAACTTATTCCTTTTGGGACTTCAATTGCATTTTTTTACTTTATAAAAACAGAAATTGCAAAATTGTGTTTCTATGACAACCGAATAGGTGCCCATTTGTAATGGAAATGCAGCTACAGATTCTTAGTTAAATATTTTCAGAAATGTTCCATATTTCTATTGAATTATCTATTTAAATACAAATGTTCATTGCAACAGTTTTAATCTTTTTGAAAACTGTTACAATAAATATTTTAATAAACCCTGAAACATATCACAAGATCCAACTGCAATCTTTACCATTAATGTCAATACTGGTTTAAAGGGAGCAATATCCATTTAGCTTACTCTGTTTGTACTTTCATGTATATGTTGGTTATATAGTCTTTTTCTATTCATTTCTTTTCAACTTTTTTTGACTTTTAAAAATGCCAGGTTTGATGGTGTTTGCTGGTTTGATGATAAAACATAGACCAAAGTCTCCAACATGACTCACTGTTTGAAAAGAAGCTGTGCCTTTACACTCTTGTTAATCCTAAAGTATTTAATCATACTGGAAGGACTGGTTTTACTCACGCAGTCTGCCCGATGACAGAACCAATTCCCTGCCCAGGCATGATTATATTTCTTTTATAAGTTGATACACAAATTTTCCAAGGACATCTTTTGATGGTGAGTCAGTAATTCAGATGAAACTATCTGTCGAACCCTAAAGCTGTTTAGTAAGATGTATTTTCTAACTTGGTAGAAGTTTTAAACTCATAATGGGCAAAGTTTTCTATGTTTAACGTGGGATTTTTACTGTAAATCATCAGTGCTTTTCTGTACTAAAGAGAAATATGTTTTTTTTTCTGCTATTCTATGAGCTATTTTTGGTAGACTGTATTTTTAAACAATAAAGAGTTTTTATGTAGAAGAAGATCTGTTTTCTCTCTTTTTTTTTATCTTGTCTGATATACAATTCTACCTTCATTTTAGAGCATAGGGGAACTTACATGATCTAGTCTGCCATGGGAAACTTCCCTGTAAGATAAAAAAAAATAGTCATGCCTAAGTATGAGCTTCCTTTTTAAAGACAGTTCAGATGCCAAAAAATTCTGCGGTTGCAGAGATGCAAATTATGCTTTTGTCTTTTATTTTTATTTGTTCCCGGTGTTGCCATAGGAAGAAACTTAACGTGCAAGTCAAAGTCTTAAAGAGACGCACACACCCAGAGAGGAGCCCCACCTTCACACACAACAGACAGTTAGACTTTGCTCGGCATGTGCTGACAGCTCCAATTTCCCAGAGAAAAAAGGGTGGAGACAGAACTGAATGTACAGCAGAAATGAGGGGGGAGTAAAGTGACAGCAAGGTGATACACGGGGCAGGGAGGAGGAGAAGGAGGAGCAGTAGGAGAAAGTAAAAGGAGGATATTAAAACAAAAAAGTGAAGGAAATGCAGAGTTTGGAAAGTTGTAGATATTTAACAGGCAATTCTTTCCCAGCCAGACACTTCCTTATGATCGATGATTTGTACACTATATTCCCAAAAACTCACTTCTTCTAAAGGTGCAATGTTACACTCATTATCCTACATTCGTATGACTCTGAAATTATATAGATAACTGAGATTATATTAGTTCATATCTTAGCTGTACTAAACAACACTCTAAACATATTTGTTTTGTATAAATTTAGATCTGAGAGGGCCCCTTTTAAAACGGAGCTCCAAGATTAAACATCTAGTGGCAGTTTTTAAATGGAGAAATTGAAAAGAAAGTTGAAATCAGTGTATTAACATTTCCCTCTCTGTTCAAAAAAACCTACTGATAATAGGATATCTTTTGTTTGATAGTAGCGTACCTTATTTTAAGTTAAGTCAGTCCAAAAGCAAATAAAATTTTTTATAATCCTTTGCCTTTATATTAGGTGACAAAAAAGGCCTCACATGTTCATTTACATCAGTGTTTCACTCAGGAAGATGTTTGGTGGCGCACCACTTTTTTTTTTTTTTTTACAATAATGGCAGTAATATTGCCCTTTCAACGTACGAGTAGCCTGAGCTAAATAAATAAAATCAAAGAAGTGACCTACCATAATTATTAGGCTGATCAAAGTGGAAAATTTGTCCCTAACTGTTTAGACCAATGATAGCCATGCCAATGACCAGTGTATCTGATATGTAACAACCACACCATGCATATTGCTTTATGTTAATAGATTATATTAATTAGGCTATGTGTGCTTCCAAAAAGAAATAGAAAAATTCCACTATTCCCTTTCTTTTTTTTTATTTTTAACAACTAAGACTACTGCCAACAAGCAACTATTGATCAAGGAGTTTGAATTCCCTTTTCAGAGGTATGGGCCAGTATCTGATCTTACAGTTCAACAACGACCTCAATGACTTCCCGTTACCAGAGGCGTAGCCAGAACATTTTTAAAAGGGTGGCCAGTCACTAACCAATGTAGACTGAGGAGTGGCCGAAAGCAGATAGGCGCCAGCACCTCAGGGTCGGTCTTCACTGTTCCAACAGGAAAATTAACGAGCAAAATATAATATTTTCTAAATAAAGACAAACTATACTTTCCCACAACCTTTGCTAACAAATAGACAAATATATTCAAACATCCATGCTTTCTAGAAAAATTGATATTTACAAATACTTATATCTACATAAATTGATAATTTGATACGTTTTTATTAAAGTAATGATTTATCTATGATTTCACTGAAGACTCCTAGATGACTTGCAGAGACGTATCTCTTTACACCATAAAATACAAAATCTATTTCAGAAAAGAGCATAAATTCTCTACTTATCTTTAATGTTAGTATATTGATGTGCATAATTAACTAGTGTTTTTGTTGTCAAGTAATTGTTAATATATTAAAAAAATTTAAATGTTAATATTCCACTTGAGAGTACTACTGTTGCCACCATCTGTATTAGAGGGAAATAAATGGTACGGGTGGCCACAGGGGTGGCCAATGATTAGCTAAGGGTGGCCATGGCCACCCCTGGCCCCCTATCTAGCTCCGTCCTTGCCCATTACTCCTATTATTTGCGTTCAATTTGCATGAGCCTGGAACTCAACACTACTCCAGACATTTTGAATTGAGAAAACTTTCTGGATGGGAAGTGAAGGATTTTCAAACTTGGAAAACAAAGTTAAGTGGTTTGTTTTTTTTAACTTTTTTTGAAAGTTTGAAGAGTACAACTTTCTGCCTTATAAGGAGGGTTTGACTCTGCTTTTATAGAACAGCTGTTTTAATTTGATTTGATTTCTAATAGATGTTTAGATAAATAAACCCACAAGCGATCAAATGTAATGGTGTGCTAGTAATAAATTTACGGTTTTTGTGACAGTAACATTCTCACATTGACCCTTTTTAAAAATATATATAGGCTTTATTTTACGTACATGTTTGAACTAAATTCAAAAAGGTACAATATAAAAATACTAAACTACTTAAATATCATTTAATATATGGGAAATAATACATTTGACTCAGTAATTTTTAAGGTTTACATTTTAGGATAATCAGACTGAGAACTGTGAAATGACTTGCTGTTACCCCAGAAAGTGGCCATGGTGTCACACAGGAGTTCACTTATCTGCAGTGTTACTGACCGCTATGTTAGATTAGCTCCTCCCATTATTCTGTCACCACCCACAGTGAAGTCAATGTTGAGAGAGGTCAAAAGAAAAGAGAGTTATCTTTGGCTCCCCTTGCATGTTTACTGTCAGATCCTTGATGCATGCAACTGTAGAAGTTGGATACTCTAGGTCAAGAAAGTAAAAAATCTGCCTAGTTTTTTCCTTTATCCTCTCAGCTGATCAGCCCCATGTCCATGTTGTGGAGCTGGAAAAATTAATGGTTGGGACTAATCTCTGTAAAACCATTTTAATTTCTGGACCTGGATTATCCACTTCTGGATCCCCAATTTTTTGGTTTGAAAGAAAGCTGAATTTACAACTCAAGGGCTGTTTACAGGCGTGTAAATATGAGATCGTTGTGATTTGGTTGCTTTCTGTGCTTTATTTTCTATGCATGTAATTGAAATTGTTCTAGTCCTTTGAGTCAGCTGAATGCTGCATACATTGTATTTAGTATTGTCAGTAGTAAAAGAAAAAGGGAAAGTAGGTACCCCTTAAAAGTATAATGTTCAGTTATATCAGTTATGACGTAATATCAGTTATGACTGATATTACGTTGTTTTTAATATTTCATTTATTGTTTTAAGCCAGTGATAAAATATATATAAAAAATCTCAAGGAAGCCAGCATGTTTCTCCTCTAACCATCTCAAAACTCTAGTGGGCCTTTACTGTATGACACTGTAAGCTTTAGTAAAATAAGATTACTTGTTTTCAGCAGCAAAAACATCAGCAAGGTTTGGCAAAAATCTAGAAATACATTTTAAAGAGGCCTCTCTAAGTTAGGTATAGGCGCTGTGATGCTGTGGGCCTGTTTTCTTGCAAAGGCCATGAGAATCCAGAGGGCACGGCACCATTAACCCTGAAATACCAGGACATTTTTCATAACACTTCCTTGACATCTAGCATTAAACTCAAAGCAATCAATTTTGTGTCTTTAAAATAAATGCAGATCTAAATCATAAATCCAGGTCAACAAAGAAATGATTCACTACACTCAAAACCAATTTTTTTTTTCATGAACATTTCAGTCAGTAGACCTTAAACCTTGAAAACTTTTGAGGTGATGTAAGGAAAGGAAAGCATAAGGGAGGACCCAGGACTCTTTCCTAAGAAGAATATTTAACGATTTGTGCACAAAAACTTTAAATATTATTTGAGAATGCTAAACACTGTACTCTTGGTGAACAACGGGATATTTGCATGAATGCAAATACATATTTCCCTGGTAAATTTTGAAAGAAAATCTAATATTAATCAAAATTGTACAATAAAGATTTTCTTCCCACTGAAAAATATCTTTAATTTAAGACTTAGATTTTTGTTTTTTAAGTCTAAATTTATGATAATCAGACAAAAAATACATTTATTTGAAGAATTTTTTCTTTTTAATGTTTTCTTATTACTAAAGGCTCTGCTGATTGCTGTCACATACAGCAGTCAGTTAAGAAGAGGAAAAGATATATTGTCAGCTGAAGGTCAAGACATAATAAATAAAGAAAGAAATTGATCAGTGTAGACCTGCAACACATATTTGGTTATGGAATACAAAAGAACCGTATGGTGCTGTGCATATACACAGAAAAGACCATCAACACCCATGATGAACATCTAATTAATATATTTCTGGTAGCAGCCAAGAAAGCCATCAGCAGGGAGTGGGGAAAGGAAACAATACCAACAAAAAAGCCCAATGGACTGAAATTGTAGAAGAAATCTACTCGTTGGAAAAAATTCACATTTATCTTAAGGCTACAGAAAACACAATTAAGAAAAAAAATGGGAAAATATGAACTACAAGACTTTAGTCGAGGAAAGAGGATTGAAACAAAAAATTAATTAATATGTTAATAATGTTACAGAAGCACTAAGTTTTACCTGGGTATCTATTTTTTCTATTTGTTCAGTTTACTTTTTTGCTGTTATGGTTAAAAAACAATAAGATTTAAGTGGAAAAAAACAAATAAAAAATATTCAATTAAGAAAGCAAAAGCACAAAGACATTTGTTTGCAGTTTTGCTGTATATTGAACTTCGACATGATCTCTCTGTGTGGGAATACAGCCATTAACTTTTTACCATAAGGTACTTTAAGGCGTAAATGGAGATTTTTCACTAAGTAGAACCATGGTGATAAAGAATTTTTTATTTTTCTTCATATTTTACCTTATTTCCCACAACCCTCTTCAAAGTTGCCTGCAGTTTGCCCAAAACTGCTGCCCTTTTGTTTACTTCTTTTTTCTTTTTGTATTTGCTTTATGGTATCTTTCTGTGTAT